GTTTGTGTAAGTGTTATGCTCTACGTGCATTCATTCTTGAACATAAATATTTTTAATATATAATTAATGCAATTTAATGGCAGATCTATTATTTAATTAATATACAATTAAATTAAATAATAGAGTTCATAAATTCAAGTCTGCGTAATTTGTTAATCACAGAGAGTTGTGATTGTGAGACACAAATTAAATATGATTGAATCTTAAATCGTCTGTGGTTGTAAGTGATAACGAGATATGGATATCGTTATTATGGATCGACTATTACGTGTGATATTTCTTACTTGTAAAGTAAGTAGCTGATCTCACAAGTTAAAGTGTAGTGACACTTGAATGAACACGTGGATGTTTTGTTATAGAACAAAACATTGGAAACCCGCCTAGAGATTCCACATGGATAACTATTTGAGTGTCAGTGGTTAATCTCTAATGTTCGGTAGTGGGATTAGTCCTTTGACTTGAGGTCGTCATAGTACCTTATATGAGGACAGTCATGCTTTGACGATATTGGATGTTGCTTTGCCAACGGACACTAATACAGTATCGTTCACGTATGTCAAAAATCGTATGAAGGTAGTGAATGACCAATAGAGGGTTCGTCACTCTTAGGTAGTAAGGGATTATGATATGCATTTCATTCAATTAAGTCGATAACGAAATCCTTGGTCCAGGTGTACTCATAAGTCGAAAAGGAACTTTCAACTTATATTGACTTAATAGTGGAGTGAAAGATATGATCAATAATCGAGATTGACACACTTTCATATCTCGTAATTGATCGGATCATAATAACGAAGGGATTATAATTTCACGGTAAATGAACGAGTTTGGTTTTGTCATACCACATGATACTTCTCATCACATGTATTGCTCTGACACATTGTTAGATGTCAATCTGAGACGGCGAGTGTGAATTTGTGATAAATTAAAAGGATATTTTAATTTATCAATTTTGATTAGATCAAAATAATATTTCAAGTCGTTAGGCATCGTGATCGGGAACCTAATGGGTCTCACACAAAAGGAGAACTGGAAGATTGTGATTTGTCAATTAATTAATTTAACAAGCATTGGATTAATTAATTAATTGAGTTGCTTATTTATAGACCTGAATTAATTAATTGAATTAATTAATTCACGTATCGGATTTAATTAAATGGGTTAATTAAATAATGAATCGGGTCAGGCCAAGCCTGGTTGGGGTCATATAAATATGACTAGAGTTTTCAAAATTAGAGAGAATTCATTATTCTTGCTAGCATAAGAAGAAAACCATAATTCTGCAATCTTGCTCTTTGTGTGGATCACCGTTGGAGACTGGACAATTAAACAGCTGTAGATGCCGAATCAAGATCTTTGGAATGAAACAACAGCAAAGGAGTTTGCAGATCTTGTAAAAGGTACGACTTTTATCACAATTTCTATCTAAACACAAAGACGATTCCCAGTGGGAATCAAAAATTGTTTTATTTTCCGCTGTGCATGATTAATAGATTCCCAACCTTTTGTTCACTTCTTGGGGGCTTAATTATATTGTGGTCCCATAATCCATCTACTTGGCCCACTTGAATATTTGATCTTTGTCCACTTAAATGGTTACCTAAGCCTATATATGCAGCCTCAATTTCCCCTTTCACGTGTGTTATTTCTCCCCTTTGATTGAGAACAAAAAGGGCTATTTCTCCCTTGCTTTGTGCCCTACCCTTTTCTTCTTTTTCTTGCCTTTGTGACAGTCTTCTATGGGTTCCTCTATGGCTGAAATAACACCTTCTTTTTGTGTCCTTTGTGGGTGCAATCGGTAGTACCCGAAGTGAACAAGTGGTGTTATTCTGGGCCATTGATTGGAAGTGTTGATATGGTCAAGATTGGTAGACTGAGCCCAAAAAAACACATTGGTAGAGCTATCTTCCACAACAAAAAATATCTCTCTTTCTATTTGAAAATGTACAATGTTGATAGGTAAACCTATTGTATTGAGGATTTATCAGCAATTTTGATGGAAGATAGAGTTTGGGGGTATCAGGTAGGTCTACATGGATTTGGCATAAATTCAGATTAAGAATACAAATTAACAGTGTTTGGATATATGTAACGCCCAGGCTTTTATAAACCTGAAGTGTCACTGAAAATGAGGTTATTAACTCAAACATTCCGGTTAAACAACTCTTATAAAGTGTCGAGTTTGAAGTAATTGATAAATAGCGGAAGAACTTATCATTTTCACAATATAAACCTAGAAAAATTATAGAAAGTCCTGGTCGTGCACTGAGTTGTATATATATATATATATATATATATATATATATATATATATATATATATATTTTTTTTTTTATATATATATATA